TGTAGCACCCAATAGCTGCCCTGGGTATGGGTAATTTTCATTGTGTTTCTGTGTCTTCCCTTCCCAATAGATTTTGGAGAGATTTGGGACAGCTAAAGATTTGCAGCTGGGAGTGGAGGGGTAGGGGCTGGTGATAAAGCCCGGGCCCCTTGGCAGTCAGTCACAGTTAATAGAATTATTTGTTTTGAGTTATGTGTCCCTCAGCTAGACCAGCACAAGTTTGGGCGGGATTTTGTGCCCAGTTTTCCAATACGTCTGTCTGCCCAACACTCGCTACAGGGCAAGCACAGCAGACGGTGCACGTGGTGGAGCCGCAGAGCCCTGTGTCTGAGTGAGCAGGTGAGCACATGGCCTCTGGCTCAGGTCCCAGTTCACCCTGGCAAGTAGACATGTCGCCTGTGGGTGGCCTGGCACAGAAGCAGGGTGTCCCTCAGCCCGAGCTTTCTCTCCAGTGGACAGGACACAAATCCAGCTTTCAGACAGCACCCAGAGGGTGTGGCCAGCCACATCCCTGGCCTCTGGCTCTTGTCCTTTCTGTCCCCCTTCCTCGGGCCCCTCAGGCCAAGCACGTGGCAGGCAGGTTCCCCAGGGTGGATGGAGCTGGTCCGGGAGAGGTCGGAGTCTCTGCTTTTGATTGTGTCAGTTCTCTGGTGGGAAGTTGGGTGGGTTCTTCAACCTTCTGGCCTACATTTTTTCTTTCAGGAACTTGGGTGGCAGCAGTTTGCCCTAATTCCTAGGAATATCCGTACTACATTGGATGAAAAAAAAAAAAAAAACTTTCTTAAGCTGGGCATGGTTGGAAGTGAGGTTCTCCACCCTTGGGGTTAGGGTGAGGTTCACTCTGTGCTCGGATGGCATTGGTTAACATGTCCCACACACAGCCCTTGGGGTTAGGTGAGGTTCATTCTGTGCTTGGATGGCTGGAGTAATCATTGGTTAATATTTCCCACGAGCAGCAGCTTTGAGAGCTCACAAGTGTCCCTGCCGGCCTTGCTGTCAGCTGGTTCCAGGCCTGTAGCCTCAAACTTGGCCACGTTTGAGAAGAGGTCAGATTCCTGAATCTCCTAGCTGTCTTATCTGTCCTCCCTGTTTCCCAGTAACGCGGCACCCAGGCCCCAGGTTTGTGGCTGGTCTCGCCCACTCTGTCACAGCCGCTCAGCCCAGCCTCCTACAATAATCCATCACTGCCGTCTCATTTGCTGTTTGCAAAGCACTTTACAGCCATTGCTGTGCGTGTCCCTCGTATTTGAAAAGTACTTTACAACTATTATTACAAGTCTTTCCTCCTATGTGAGAGAGGCTGACCCTTTTCCAAGGGTTGGGTTCCCACTGCCTCCCCAGTGATTGGATCACTCCCCGGGGTAACTAGTATGGGGTTTGGGGGGATGCCTCAGTCAGAAACTACACTTGCCCTCAGGGAAGTCCAAAGTGCCTTCACTGTGGAGGAATAAGGATTGTTGTTTCCAAGGCCCACACCAGATGTTAGTCCTGGTTTGGGGGCTCACTACCTGTCACCCCCACCTCCCCCAGAGAAGGTGCTAAACAGCAAGGTTACAGCTTCGGGGGAAAAGCGTAAATGCAACAGACATGAGACGGTAGGACCGTCATTTCCCCATTGTAGATTGGGAGCTGCTTGGAGTGATCAGATTTTTTTTCTAATTTATCAGATTTTTAAAAATAGGCAGTTATGACATGTCAGAACGTTTTTTGTTTGTCTTGTTTTGGCTTGGTTTTTTTTGATAAAGAAAAGTTCACACAATTCAAAGGTCCAATAAAAACTGCTTCTGGCACGACGTACAGGGGCGTTTTGTGTGCTGTGTTTTTCATTTAATATCGCGAGGTGAGCATTTTCCTCTATGGTTACATTATCTTTGTAATAATCATTTTAAAAAGTATGCTGCATCTCATCCAGCAGGTCGGACGGCAAGATTCTATGTTAGAAAATATGGAAACATCTGCAGATTTGGAGGTGTAGTGGGTCGTGGGGAGACGTGGGTGTAGCTGACTGTTGCCTTTAGGAGGCGTGGCCTTTGCCTCTGTCTGGAGCCTTCCCTGGGCTGCTGTCACAACACTGACCTTCTGTCCCCGGGCGGGGCTTCTCTCCAGGGCGGGCTCCCGTGCCTCCCGCCCTAGAGGAGTAGTGTCTGCCACCAATCTTTAGCTCAGCTGGGTATGTTCTAAAACTGAACTGAGTAATGTCATTACTTTTATTGATATTCAGGTCCAGTTTGCCCAACTAGGTCATTAGTCAGGCTCCCTCTTAGCTCCTTTGACATCTATCAGAGTGCTTAAATAGCAGATGCTCAGTAAACGCTCGGTTACAAATATGTATTTGCCACCCTCCAAAGACTACCTGGCCAGTAAAATAATTGCTTGAATGTGTAACCAGTTGAGGCAAGCCTTTGTGCTGACTTCTCAAGGCACGGGAAGGTGAGTAGCCAGCAGAGAGGAGACCTTGAAGGATGGGTGGCTAGGTCCTTTGATACGATTCTGTCCCGGCATATAAAACAATAAACGTGGAGAGAGAGAAAAGGGAATATATCTCCTTCAATAAAGAGGAACAGATTATAAGATTTTTGACTGTGGAGTTTAAGTGAACCAGAACTAAGGAAAGAAGCCAATTTGCTTATCTTTAAAAGGAGAAGAATGTGAATCTTTGTCCATTAGAGCAACATACTGAGATATTTATGAATGAAATGACGGAATGTGGTTTTCTTCAGTAATACAGGACGGGGGAAAGTGGGCGGAGGTATAGATGGAACAAGATTGGCCACAGATTGTTGGAAGCTGTATGGATGGTTAAATAAGAGTTCATTTTAATATTCTGTCCACTTCTAAATACATTTAAATTTTTTTGTGATAAAAATAGAATAAGGGTCACACTAGACTTGGACTGGAAAGATGATCTAAAAAGTTCTCCACTTCCAAGCCAGATTTAGGGCAGAATGCTGTGCCTTGGTCCAATTTTGAGATTGTAGTGCCATCTACTGTTCACCGCAAACACACAGCAAAATGACATTGCCAGCTTTTCCCTCCTGGTGGGGGCTATTTGGTCTGGGGTCCTTATTCTGTGAGCTCTGGCTTTCCTAGCTCCCTCTTGGAGTGAGACCCTTTGCCACCATCTTTACCTTCCATGTCTATAGAAGTTTACAGTTGACAAATTCCAATGGGATCCGTTCTCGCCCTGGGGAGATATAAGCTGGGACAGTTTTATCCCCTGTGATCTATATAAAGCCTGACTCAGAACTTCCAGAAGTCTCTCTCACTCCACACCATCCTCAACAGGCAGGGTTGCCAGGGTGGCAAAGGTTGTGCTGATGGTGGTTCAGGTGGAACGAGCTGGATGGGAGCCACCATTTCATGTGCTGCTCTGAAGGCAGGTGACCTTGGTGGAGGGTGCTCAGTGTGTCCCAGGTGTAAAAATAGCTCTTGTGTGATGGCTGTGCTCTGCTCCCTGGCCTGAGCAAACAGCACCCCACACCTGCACATTGTTTACTTGGTGCCTACTTGGTGCAGACATGCTGCTACCTGATTGCAGGTGCAAATGACTGTTTGTATACCCAGAGTTGGGGGAGGGTCCCCCACCACCCTCTTCTTCAACCTACATTCCCTTAGAGTAGGTAGATGGGCCACAGAAGTAGCAAAATGTGCAAACTTACACCCCAACGCTGGGTCCTGATGGAGGGAGAGCTCTTTAACCACCACCCCTCCGGAGAAGCTCCCTCTTCACTGGAGAAGAATCTACACTTGCTTCTGGCAGTAGGACAAGAACAGTCTGGAGACCAAGGTAGCTAAGTTTATGGACAGAAAATGAGGATGGCGTGGAGTGAGAGAGACTTCTGTAAGTTCGGAGTCAGGCTTTATATAGATCCTAGGGGATAAAACTGTCCCAGCCTATATCTCACCAGGGCGAGAACGGATGCAAGTGGAATTTGTCAACTGTAAACTTCTATAGACATGGAAGGTAAAGGTGGTGGCAGAGGGTCTCAGGTGCACTGCTTATGCTCTGTATTTGACATACCGTTAAGCAAGAAAAAACATCAAACTATGACACAGCAGATCATACAGATATATTGAGAGAGGAAAAATAAACTAACGAAGCCTTTTATGAAGAGCAGTTTGAAAGTTTCAAGAACTTAAAAAGAAATCTAGCTCCTTTGACTCTGAAATTCTACCTCTAGTGGAGTATCCTAAGGAATAACCAGAAACACACAGATTTATCTACAAAACTAGCAGTACTTACAAAACAAAAATTGGAAACTGGATAAAGATTAAGTAATAGTTGAGTGATAATAGTTAAACAATGATGCACTTTACTACGATGGAATGTGATACTGTGCTAAAATGAGACTGTAAAGACTTTCTAATGTGGAAAAATGCTTTGGCATTTGGTATTAAGCAAAAAAAAAAAAAAAACAACCAGGCTCAAAATTATATAGCTTTACCTCAACGAGGCAGAAGTACATGTCAACATATGAAGTTGCTAACGACATAATGGAACAAAATGCTCTTAATACTGGTGACAATCTATGTTTTCTTTACATATTTCGGTACTTTCTAATTTTCCTAAAGTAAATATTTATTATACTTTGTATTTGTATTCAAAGGGAAAACCAATCTTAATTTTGAGAAGGGGAAGAAAAGAGAAAGGAGGTGTGAGCAGGCCTCAGAGCTAGGAGAGAGTCTTGGGCTGTAGACTCTGAGCTGAAGGCCTGGACTGAAATCCAGGCAGGGTTGGATCTCGTGCTCCATGGGGCTCTCATGCTCAGGGATCCCTGCCAGGATCCCTGCTGGGATGGGGTTGGCCAGGAGTAAACTGTGGTCCTGAGCGTCTGTCCCCGCGGTTGAGGTCCAAGCAAGGGCAGCCCAAAGTGGTTTTCCTTCCTTCCAAGGAAAGGACATTATTTCTGTGATCTCTTGATTCTCAGATGCAAGACTGCTGGACATACACAAAGAATTCATCCTCTGTCTTTTCTGCTCTGTTTCCCCACACCCAGTAGATATGTTTGATGACTTCTCAGAAGGCAGAGAGTGTGTCAACTGTGGGGCCATGTCCACCCCGCTGTGGCGGCGGGACGGGACGGGACATTACCTGTGCAACGCCTGCGGCCTCTACCACAAGATGAACGGCATCAACAGACCCCTGATCAAGCCCCAACGCCGGCTGGTAAGCAGGTGCCTCGCCGGCCACGTCCAGCAGCAGCCTGGGGATGGCCACACCTCTCCCTCCTCTCGCCTGCCTTTGGGGCTCTCACCTGGATGGGAGGTTCTCTGGGCTTGAATATTGGCATTCGTGGGTGTGGGCTGAGGGGTTAGGAGAGTGGGTGGGTGGGAGCAACATGGTAATTTCTCCACCTGTAGTTAGCTGGAGCCAAAGGACGTTCCAGACCATTTAATCAACCCCTCAGTGCACAGAAGTGAAAAGCCGATGCCTCCCCCATGGCCACATGCTGTGTCTCCCCAGTGGGACCAGGACACAGAATCCTGGGTGTCAGTCCTGTGGCCTTGAGGGTCTCCACAGTCACACCACCCTGTGAGGAAAGCCAGCCCCGAGGCTGCTCTGTCACTGTTCTTAGCCGGACGCGTAAGGACACCCAGAGCCCAGGACACTTCAGCAGCTCGTGTCTTCCTGGCTGGGGAAGAGCGTGGGGCTGGGACTAGACCCAGAGTGTCAGCTTCTGGCTCCGTGCTCTTTTTTAGTGAATTTGAGTTTAAACAGCACCAACAAGGCTCCGTGTGCGCTGGGCAGCAGAGAGCGTGGAGTAAACCCAGACGCTCCCCTCTACCGAGTTCCTGAGGCCCATTTGGTCTCTGATGCCATCCGGATACATAGCTCCTCACCCACCACCCGTGCCCAGCACCTGCAGCCAGTGATAGTTCCACTTTGAGAAGCAGAAAGGCTTCTCCCTCAGTGCCCAGTGTGTGTCGGGTTGTCCGACATCAGGTCACAGGACTTGAGATGGGTCTTCAGTGCCTGAATGCACCTTCCCTCTCCCGCAGCAGAAGTCGTGTTCTCCTTCACACCTAGGAGGGACTTAGGTGGCGGGAGAAGCAGGTGCTGTGCCTGGTCTGAGACCCCACACAGACCTTCATGGCCACAGCTGCTTGGGTGCCTGCCCTTTGCTCGCGCGTGAAGGCTTTGCCCCCTGTGTTGCAGTCCGCCTCCCGCCGAGTGGGCCTGTCCTGTGCCAACTGCCAGACGACCACCACCACGCTGTGGCGCCGCAACGCCGAGGGTGAGCCCGTGTGCAATGCCTGTGGCCTCTACATGAAGCTCCACGGCGTAAGTGGACCCGGGCCCCGCCACGTCCCCGTCATGTCCCCACCACGTCCCCACTGCTGCATTCCCATTGCTCAGTTCTCACTTGTCTTCAGACTAGAATTCATCTTTCCCTTCTTCACAAAATTACTTAAATTTGGAAGGGAATCTTAGTGACTTTTTTTGGTCTCCTCCATCATTAACATTGTATAAGTGTAATTCCCATTTTATAGATGAGGAAACTATGTATGTATAGATAGTATATAGTAGCATGATATGTACCAAAGGTGGCATTTCCATTTTCATGGATAAAACAACAGCTTGTTCAAGAATAATCAAATTAACATAATTGGCTATTCATGTGGAAAACAAAAATAAACAGATGAATTAAAGGTATTAAATGAAAAACATCTTTGGAAGGAAATAAAATAAAAATACGAGGCAATAAAATACTACAACGAAAATACTAGGCAATAAAATAAATACAATAAAAACATCAGACAATAAAAATACTAGAAGAAAACAGAAGACCTTGTGGATGGGAGGAGAACTTCTTTTTCTTTTCTTTTCTTTTTTTTTTTGTTTGGTGCCTGGCCAGTAAGAGGATCTGAACCCTTAGGCCTTAGGTGTCACCAACACCATGCTCTTACCAACTGAGCTCAACAGGCAGCCCTGGGAGGAGAATTTCTGAAACAAATTTTTAAAACTCTTAAACCATATAAGAAAACTTATTGTATAAACATTTAATGTTAGTGTTATGGAAAGGGACACCTACAGAAACAACCAGGACACGCATACATTAGGAAAAGGGCTGATACTTCCAGAACACAAAGAACTTCTACAAAGCTCCCTATGTTCTGATTTGGAACAATCTCCATTATATAGTATTTTCTTTTTTCAAAAAAGCAGGGTGCAGAACACTTTATACAGTATGGCATCATTTTTATAAATAAAAAGGAAGAACATAACTTATATGTAGTTGCTTATGTGTACATAGAACACCCCTGGAAGAATACGTGAGGTTGGTTGCATGGGTTGCCGCTAGGAAAAGATGTGGGGCTTTGGGGAGCAAGGATTAGAGGGACACTTTTTTCACTGTGACCCCCCTTTGTACCTTTTGGATGGTCCATATGCAAGTCTTGCTTGTTCAAATATAAGTTAAACTAAAACAAAACAAGCAAACCCCAAACAGAGACCCTACAGCCTAATGATTGATCTTCCCCCCACCTCCCCAAATGGGCAAAAAGGTATGAACAGACAACTCACAGAAGCTGCCCAGAAATCCATCAACCAAGTGTGGACATGCTGGACCTCACTGAAAATCAGGGAAATGTAAATGAAAACAACCATGAGATTCCCTAGTTTGCCAATATATTTGACATGAGTAAAAATGTGTGATAAGATCTAGCACTGGCTTGAATTTGGTGAAATAGATAGTGTCATGTATTATTGATTTGTATGTGTATTACTGCATATATTCTTCCTGGAAATTAACTTAGCAGTACTTATTGAGGTTAAAAATACACATATCTTTCGATCTACCAGCTCGTTGGGAAACTAGCCCATAAAAAAATAAAAGGACCAGAGCATGATGATGTTTGAACCGTTTATTGCTGCAGTGTTTGTAGTGGCAAAGACTAAAAATAACCTTAAAGCCTCATAAAGGAACAGTTGAATATATTATGACACATCCCATAATGTGGAATATGTTGGGCAGAAGTTAAAAAATAATAACTTTAGAGCCATATATCTTGCCCTGGAAAAAGCATATTGAAAGTAATATGTGTGGGATGACCCCTACTACAGGTGTTGGGGGTGCACTAGCCACACACACGGGTTAGATGGGTGGACGGACAGGTGGATGGATGAATACATACACACATACCTACATACACAGTACATACATACATGTTTTGAGATTTTAAAAAAATTTAAGAATACATAACAAGCTGTTAAATCCACTTGCCTCATGGGGATAGGATTAATGATGGGGGGTGGGAAGGCTTGTTACTGAGTCTCATGCATCTTTTCATGGTTTCTTGTTATAATAAGCAATAAAAATGGCTATAAATATAGTTAAGAGATTAATAAGAAAATACATATATTAGAATGAAAGTAAGTATATTAAGTACTTGTTGATGGGCTGGCTGTTTAGCTCAGTTGGTGCAAGTGTGGTATTCTAACACTAAGGTCAAGGGTTCAGATCCCCATACTGGTCAGCCACCAAAAAAAAAAAGTTGTTGAATCACTGTAAAAATGAAAACAGAGAAAAAACCTTTGGGAGGAAAATAGTTAAAGAAACTATTGTTCTTCAACAGGGGAATGGTAACACAACTAATAGGGAAATATTATGTATTAATATTATGTATTATTATAGGTATTAAAAAAGATCGTGTCTTCAAAAAGCAAAAATAGAATTACCCTGTGATCCAGCAATACCACCTCCAGGTTTGTAGCCAAAAGAACTGAAGGCAGGGTCTTGACAGAGATACATGTACACCCATGTTCACAACAGCCAAAAGGTGGAAACACCCCAGTGTTCACTGATGGATGGATAAGTAAAAATGTGATACATACAAACAATGGAATATTATTCAGCCTTAAAAAGAAAGGAAATTCTGACACATGCTAATACACAGATGAACCTTGAGGACATTACGCCATGTGAAATAAGCCAGTCACGAAAGGACAAACACTGTGATTCCACTTACATGAAGCTCCTAGAGTGGTTAAACTCACAGATAAGAGGAGGAGGGTGGGTACCAGGGGCTGCAGGAGGGGAATGGGGGGTTGTTTGTTAATGGTTACAGAGTTCCAGATTTATAAGACACAGAGTTCTGGAGATGGGTGGCGGTACTGCTGGAGCACAGTGTGGATGTGCCTGACACTACTAAACGGTACACTTGAAGATGATAAACTTCACTACAATCGGAAAAAAAGTGTGCTGAAGCGAGTGGGGATAGACACAAGGGCAAGATTCTTCTGAAGTCAAGATGGGCTTTCTGAGGGCCAAAGGTGGGGCGGGGACACCTTCCTCCACAGGTGGGATAAGCTGGGAGATGGTGGGTGGGGTGGGAACGCTGCCTCGTCGGACTGACAGCTGAGGGGCAGGTTCATGCTCGCAGGTGTGGGTGCGCTTCTCTTAGCCGGTCCACACGTCTCTGCAGCTGCTGCTGCTTGTCTTCCCATATTTGCAGGTGTGGCCTTCATTAGGCCCACGTGGTAGACAAGCACAGAGCAGACCAGGGGCTGAAAGATTTGGCCTGGCCTGAGAGACCAGGAGTAGGAAGGCACCGTATCTAAAGACACAGGAAAGACACCTGCGGCCTGCTCCCCAGTGCTCATGCAGGCACCTGCCTGGCCCGAGGCTGTGCCTCCCAACGCCACTGCTCATTCATGAGAAGTAGGTGCAGGAAAAGTATGGGACAGTTTATCTCCAGCCCCGGCCCCATGGTGCCCGACAGCCGTGGAAACACCCCCATTTGCGCCAGCCAGTCCCAGTGCAGTGCAGAGCCACTTTCAGTGCAGGGACTGTATGTCTCCACTCCCCGGACTGTCCCAGTTTATGCCCATTTTCCTGGCATAGTTATTAGCAGCATCCTTGTTTTCAGTGTCACGTGTAGATGGTAACAGCTTTGGCAAATACTCTTGCTTGAAATGCCTGCCCTGTGTCTACTGGACAACCTCTTACATCTCAGGCGTCACCACCTCCCTTCACAGCCCCGTGTTCTCCTCCTGCCCAGCCCAGGACAGGCTTTAGTGTGTGTTCTGTTTCCCCCATCACCTACCAGTCCTATTATTTCTACCTGTATGTCTTCCCACTAAGCTGTCAATTTCTGGAGGGAAGGAATTTTGTCTCAAATTCTCTACTTCAGGGTCTGGTAAGATACCCACCATATAACATAGGTGCTCAAAAAGTTTTTAAAAATTGAATTGATTTCCTTCTCAGCAGGAATTCTTGGGGCCTATGCACCCAACCTCTCCCCAAGGTTTGTAGAGGGGTTTGGTACATGCTGCTTTCTCAGTGAGCACATGCCTTGTACAGAGGTAAAACCACATATATTGACTTGTGACCTTTTAGGTCCCCAGGCCTCTTGCGATGCGGAAAGAAGGGATTCAAACCAGAAAACGGAAGCCCAAGAACCTTAATAAAGCTAAGACACCAACAGGTGAGGAAAGATCTGTGTGTAACGTGAGAAAGTTGGCAGCCCTCAGAGTGTGTGAGAATCGTGTTTTCTGAGTCAGGCGGGCCAGCCAGGCTGCAGGGGTGTAACATCGTCCATCCCCAGCTTCTCAGGACAGAACGAATAATCCAGTAAAAAGGTAACATTGTCAGTGAACATACTGGGAACTTCTGAAGCAGGCTCGACTCCAGCTGTGGTCTGACGATTGCCAGTTGCAAAGACTGCCCAAAGCCTGGAGGAAAGAGGAAGTGGTCCCTCTGTCTTTGGTGCTGGAGGAAAGAAGTTACGTGGTCCCTCCTCCATCTTTGGTGCTGTGGCCACCCAAAGTCTCAGTTTCTTACCATTCTCCTTGGACTCATTGGGATCTAGGAGGACAGGGTCCCACCAGGCTCGTTCCCAGCAGATTGATCTGTAGCCGGTGTGTAATCAACATCATGTAGGACTGTGTGCGTTAGAAAGCCCCTTCATAGATGGTATCTCAGTGATCCTTACAGGAGCCCGATGAAAGTCAGTTCATTACCTGCTCTACCAATGAGCAAGCTCAGGCCCGGAGAGTCACACAGCTGCTAACGGGCAGATTGGGAATTAAAACCCAAGTTTTTATGCTTTGGGGTCAGTATACCACTCTGCCTTCCTAATTTCTAGATTAAAAATAGGGGCTACTTACATCCCCTCCCAGGGCATTTCCTCCTCAGCACTCCTACAAATTAAGGATGTGACTGTGCTACAGTCACAGAGAAAATAAATTGGCTGGTCTGATGGAAAGTTTATCTTCTAAGCTAAGGCATGAGAAAGTCAGATAAATTGCCCCTTTCCACTACCGAGAACATGACCAAAGTTCTACTTGTTTAGATGCAGCAGTGGCCTGCCCTTTCCGGCAGGTATATTTCTTACCGGAATTTTCAGCATTTCACACCAGTGGTCTCCGCCTCTCTTCCTGCTCCCCCTGCATATAAGTAAAGCACATTTTATGGTAATTCATGTCCTTACATGTAGCAATCACAGGTAGAGCAGGCTTCAGGTGTACAATCTCCTATCTAAAATTTCAAATCCAGAAAGCCTAGATTTGGCAGCAAATCCTAATCTGAACAGACATGAAGTTATTTATAGTCTATTTATCCCAATTAGTGTGACTATTCATGTTTTGCTATAGGAATATTAATATATTTAATTATGAGGTGTTGTCCCAGACCCTGCTGGAGGCATTCTATGACATACAATATTTGCATTAAAATTTTTTTTTCAAAAACTTTTGAATCCTGAAAGACGTGGCCTCAAGGGTTTGGGATCTGCTACTCCTGCCTCATTTTGAGAATGGTTGCCCTCCACTTGTAGGGACCCAGATTCTCTCCCCAGCAAAGGTAAATAAAGCCATCAGCATAGCCCTATCCTGGCCCTTTCAAAGGGCTGCCGTTCATGTGTCCCTGCCCTGGTCTGTGTGTCCCTGCCCCTGGTCTAGATGTGCTGACTCTGCCTCATTCCAGGTCCTCCGGGCAGTGAGAGTCTCCCTCCCACCAGCAGCGCTTCCAGCACCTCCAGCAATGCCACCAGCAACAGCAGCGAAGAGATGCGCCCCATCAAGACAGAGCCCGGGCTGTCATCCCACTACGGCCACAGCAGCTCCATGTCGCAGGTACACTCATGCCTGCACACGGGGAGGGAGGCTGCAGAGTCCCAGTGGCCAAGCGAGCACTGGAGTGTGAGTGACAGCCAGCTCCGGAGATGGCAGAGCACCACCCTGCTGAGCCAAAAGGCCCCCACCTCACGGCCACTCGAAGCCCTCTGCGTCCCCCAAGGCCAGGGGTGTCTGCACATGCCGTATTTCACACATCTTATCAAGCAACAGAGATCTGGACACACAGATATTTAGTGGCTCCTCTAGGCCACGGCCTTTGGGGGAGTCCAGGAATGGGCGCCCAGCACAGGAAGGAGGAAGACCACACAGCTACAACCTGAGTCACATGCGGGGGTGGGGTGCACAGTTGTGGGAGGCTGGCGGGTGGTCTCTAGACAAGTCTGCTTCCTACTGAGGGGTGGGTGGACCTTGGTCCCAAAGGATTTTAACAAGAGCAGGTGAGGATGGAGGACTCTGCTGTCATGGGCAAAGGATTGGAGACCGCAGATGGTGGGGGGCTGCAGGCAGGAGATCCTGCTTCGTGTGCGTGTCCAAGGAGGGCCCAGCAGTGCTTGCAGCTCCCTCTTGCAGTGATGGGATGGCGTGCCCACGTCCCTTCCCCTTTCCCTCTGTGATTCCCTGTTCTGGAGTCAGGATGCTTCAGGCTTGGTCATGGTCTCCCTTTACCAGCCCCCGCTCTGTCTCTTCTCTACAGTTAATTGAGCAAGGCCATGTCCTAAGGCGCTTTTTACTGTCAGGGAGAACCTGGTCTCCTGGAACCAGGAGTACCAGGAGCCCATTCTGGGCAGGGGGATGATGTCTCCATCTGAAAGCGGAGATGTGATGGTGGTAAGACTAGAGCCCTCTGAGAAACCACATGCACAGACCTACTGGGTCACAGCCCATGTTGTATAATGTGCTCAGAAGCAGACGAGGAAGCACCCAGACCCTTTGCACCCAGATCTCAGAGAGAAGTGATCTTGGTCCCTTTCCTAGGGGTGGGAGCTATCCTGGGGGCATCTGCGTAGGGGCCCCCTCCCCAGCCCAGCCCTGCTGAGCCCCCGCGAGTGACACCCTTTGCCTCATCGCATGCCTTCTGCTTTGCAGACGTTCTCTGTCAGCACCGTGTCTGGCCACGGGCCCTCCGTCCACCCGGTGCTCTCAGCCCTGAAGCTCTCCCCTCAAGGCTACGTGTCTCCTCTCAGCCAGTCGCCACAGGCCAGCTCCAAGCAGGACTCTTGGAACAGTCTGGTCTTGGCTGACAGTCATGGGGACATAATCACCGCCTAACCTCCCCTCCTTCCTGCCTCAAATTCCTGCATGGACCTGGGACTTGGAGGGCAGCAGAGATGGGGGCTCTGGGCTCCCAGGGGCTGGCCTCTGTCTGGGAACAACTCCAGAAGGACCACTGGGAAGAAACTTGAAGTCAACGGCCTGGCTAGGGGATGGGGGTGTTGGATCTTCTCAGATGCCTTTTCAAGGTGAGTTTCTGGAAAGAGCCCGACTTTGACACAGAAGAGCCACCCTTCACCACGAACCACGAAGCCTCTTCCGTGGGTTGGAGACTTCTTCTTCATGCTCTGCCCCCCATCCCGGGTGAGAGACAAGGCATCCTTCTGCCCTGCTTTTTCACCGCTGTGGCCTAGGATGGTGGTTTTCCATGGTGTTCCCGGCACCAGGGGTCTGGGAGTGGGTGGAGGGCAGGGCTCTGAGGCCCTGTCCAGCCTGAATGAGGGCATCTGGTGGACATGTACTTGGACACAGCAGACCCTGTGGGCAGTCCCCGTCCTGCTCAACACTCCCCGGGGGCATGGCATGGCCCTGCATCCCCAGCACCAAAGCTGACCCCACAATGACCAGGTGTCACGCAGATGTTACTGAACGCTCCCCGGGAGACGGAAGGCGGCCGCTGCATCACAAACAGTCCGGCTCCATCAAAACGCCTACCCCGGTTCCTCCCTCTGCCAAGGGCCTCCCCTCTTTGCTCCTCTTCGCCCCCAAGGCCTCTTAAAATAAAATCCCTCCTGCTGTTCCGAGTGATTCAGCTCTGCCTTCAGCCTGTGCGTGTCTCTCCCTCGGCAAAACGAGAGCTCGGCAGTTCAGCCACACAGCACCTCTGGTCCACCCCGGCATCCTTCCCTCACCCCATCCCACATGGGGTTCTAAGCAGGAACAGACATTCTGCTGCCAAAGCAAGGTCGGCCAACACTCATCTCAGCCTCCAGGTCCTTCTGGAGAGTGACGGGCAGACACTGTCCTGCTCGGGGGCTCTGTCCCACTTGCTCTGCTCCTGCAGGGGCTGCAGTCCTGTGGCCATGGGCCTGTTGGTCAGGCAGTGGCCGAGTCCACAGCACCTGGACCTGCATCCATTCCCTTGCAGAAATCTTTGATCCAGGAGGTGAAAAGCCAGGGGTTTTACAATGTAAGTTCAAGGCAGAAACGCAACAAAACAAAACACATGGAAAGAAAGAAAATGGCCCATACGCAGACCCCCCAGCCCTGACCTGCTCTGGAATTCACCTGCCTTCACATTGTTCCGTGTCCACCCGTGATGCTGGGACACACGGAGACTCCACCTTCGTCCCTGTGATCAACAGAGCTGTACTGTGGCATTATTCTGTCTCGCCCCAAATACCGTGCCCCATTCTCAAATCCCACTGGCTGTAGCAGAGAACATCTTTGAACCGAGATTCTGTTTTAATCATTTACATTTCTTTCTTCCCGAAGGCCACCCTCATGTACCCTCCCTAACCCACAAACCTGTTAACACTGTCTTAAGGTGAAATGGCTGTAAAATCAGTATTTAACTAATAAATTTATCTGTATTCCCCTTTCCCTTCTCCCTCAGAGGTCTTCACTGAGAGGTTGCATGTGGCTGTCCTTTCGGGCTCTTGAGCCACTAAGGCCTCCACTGCTCCTAGAATGAGTTTTCTCCCTCTGCTCATTCCTGGCAGCTGGCCAGGGCATCCTCTGCAGGTGGCCGCAGACAGGTCACCTCTGGGCTTTGATTTCCCAGGAGAGGCTTGGACCAGCTGCTCACTAAAGTTCTGTGTGGCCCAACAGATGCTGCCCAGGGACAGGGGCATCTTTAGAGCCTCCTCCGGCCCCTCCTGGTTTTAGGGGTGTCTTGGAGGGTGGCCCCAGCAGCTCTGCCGTCTCCCACTCTTCCTTTATGGTTTGAATCAAACAAGCCCCGAAAGGGGCAAGAGATGCTCCACAGCCATGAGGTGGGACTGAAACTTTCTTTCCTTTATCCATGTTGTCCTCACCTCGTCAGGCTATAGTATTGCTTAACTGCTTCACCTTAAAAGTACGTGGTGTACGGCCGTATCACCCTGAGTGCGCCCGATCTTGTCTGATCTTGGAAGCTAGGCAGGGTTGGGCCTGGTTAGTACTTGGATGGGAGACCGCCTGGGAATACCGGGTGCTGTAGGCTTTAAAAAAAAAAAAAGCAATGGTCCTAAGGCCACCATCTGGTTCAGTACCTGTGGGATGGGATCGGATGAGTGTCATGGTGTCCTGTCTCAGCTGACTGCCAAGCCTACTGGGCAATTGGGGTCATTTAACTTTTCATAGCACCCCTTTTATTTTTCAGCAGGTAAGAACAAAACAAAACTATAACCATTATTCTATTTAATGTCAGAAAAACTTTTAAATTTAGTAAGGAATAGCCAAAAACCTATTAAGGATTTTGGCTGATATCCAGAAGGATGAGTAGCTCCAGTAACTCCAGTAGCAAAATAGATTCAAAACCAGAACCAAAAGCTACCAGGACTTAGGTCGGCCTTAGGAAGGCCATGTTTGCTCTTGATGAAGTCTCAGCTTAAACATTGTCTGCCACCCCCTTTTAGGAAGGGCGTTTGGGACAAAATTATGTGCAGTACCAAAAGGTGGACCTCATTCCTCACTATCACAATTTGTACTTTACCCTAACAGTATAATTCAGCCTCCTTGCCCACCGATGACGTGGCAGCTTCCCCAAACTGAATACACCCTTAGGGAAGGTGGAGCTGCCTGAGTCAGGACACTTATTATCAAAGACATGGCTTCCAGGTGGCTGGGAAGAGGCTGGGCAAGGGCAGGAGTGGGAGAAAGGACAGCGTCTCAGAATAAATGTTTGGCCTTCTCATGGGGTGAGCGAAGTGGCCAGTGAGTGAGTCCATGTAAGAAGTCCCTCACATGACCTTACAGTCACACCTCTGGCCATGACAACACCTTTTGAAGGGTAGGTCAAAGCATTTAGCGGGTGGAGAGAACCAATCCTGAACACTGGCTTTTGAGTGCCTTTAAGGGTGGTGAGCAGTAGCAGATTTAGCTGTAATTATGGTTGGCTGGGGTTGACAGTAATGAAAATAAGTTTATATTTGTCGAGCACACACCAAATGCAGCTAGGGTGGGAGCATTAGGATGGGCTCCCCTCCCCAGAGCCCGCAGAACTTGACATACTGACTTGTGTACTGAGTGTGTGGCACACAGCCATTTGGAAAGCTTGGAGTGGGAGTGAGTATTTTGTTTTCGGTTTGTTTTGTGTTATTTTGTGACATTGAAAACTACTCTTCAGGGCCGGCCCCGTGGCGCACTCGGGAGAGTGGAGCGTTGGGAGTGCAGTGACACTCCCGCCTCGGGTTCGGATCCTATATAGGAATGGCTGGTGCACTCACTGGCTGAGCGCGGTGTGGGCGACACCACACCAAGGGTTGCGATCCCCTTGCTGGTCACGAAAAAGACAAAAAAAAAAAAAAAATACTCAGACTGCATTCCTGCCTTGCTTGAAGCTAGAACACAAATAGGCCATCACCCTGTATTCACACAAATACATGTCATCCCATAACCAAGGGCCAGCCTCAAAGCTTCAGGGTTTAGCAAGGGACAGAAATCTCTGTCATCTGTCTGACCCTTGACACTGCTGCTCTCATTTCAGTTACCGAGGCCTATGTCCTTTACCATCCAGGGGCATGATGCCACCCTACAAGTTCTGGCTCTGGTGCGACTTATATTTCCCCTCCAGATAGCTGCAGCAGTGACATTTGCAAAAAGGCTATTTGATAACGTGAGAATGAAATGATCAAAGTCAAGGTGACATTAAGACAGACCTAGTTTTTCAAAGTCTAGTTTTTTCTGCTCTGTGCATTGCTAGCTCTCTCTGCTGGCTGAAACCTGGAGACTATGGTTTACTTTTACAGACAGCAGTGACCACAGAGCTGCATTCCAGGTTGAGGAGAACAGAGAAGAATCAGAAAAAGCCTGTGAGGCACCCGGTGCTTGTTGTTGCAGGCCCAGGTGGGGAGGTTTTTAGATGGACACAGGGAGGGAACTTCCCCCCTCCCAAGTGAAGGGTGGAAGATGAGATGACCCGCCCACCCCCATCCACGTCTCTCTCTCTCTCACACACACACCCTGGATATATAAGAGGTTTTAACTGAGTGCACCAGCAGTTGCAAATACTTTTCATGTCAACGGGCATCAAAGTTGCAGCTCGGGCCGACCCCGTGGCGCACTCGGGAGAGTGCGGCGCTGGGAGCGCAGCGAAGCTCCCGCTGCGGGTTCGCATCCTATATAGGGATGGCCGGTGCGCTCACTGGCTGAGCGCGGTGCGGGCGACACTAAGCCAAGGGTTGCGATCCCCTTACTGGTCACAAAAAGGACAAAAAAAAAAAAAAAAGTTGCAGCTTCCTGGTCAGTGAATCTCTAATTGAGGAGTTAATTCAGGAGAAGCTCAGTACTAGTACACAACACTAGTTGACTGTTCTCACAGCAAAGACACTAGTCTCCTGTACTGCCTCTCAAGATGAGTTTGGAGGGCTCGCTGCTTATAACACCGAGGTCAAGGGTTCAGATCCCTGTACTGGCCGACTGTCAAAAAAAAAGTTTGCTCAAATGAAATGAGTTGCCATTAGAAATGTAAGAAAATTTGAAATTTATCATTCCTCCTCTGTTCTTTCCCTTTAGAAGTCAACAAAATGTGAAAAAAAAATCCGTTATTTCTAGAGTTCTTGATTATCTGAAACTGTTGAGCTGGGATGGAGGATAGATGTGATAGGAAAAGGCTGCAATAGCAGAATCCTAAAAAGACCTAGGGCCAGGATTCTGGCACAAAGCACTTGGTGATGACACGTAACATGCTTTTCATCTGAAGGAGTTGCTGAATTATCCAGAGAGCTCCCCAGCACTGCTGTCCTAGGACAGGTTGGAAACACTTTCAGGAAATCCACCCCACTTCCCCCATCTGTGATATCCTCAGCAGAGCACCTTTCCTTGGAGAGTTCCTTAAAGTGGCTTCCAACCTAATGACAGCCAAAATGCCCTTTACCAACTCCCAGTCCCACCAAGTTTCCATGTTTTTTTGTGTTATTTTTTGGCAGCTGGCCGGTATGGGGATCCGAACCTTTGACCTTGGTGGGTATTATAACACCATGCTCTAACCAACTGAGCCAGTTGACCAGCCCTGAGATAGCTTTATCTACATACTTTTGGAGTTTTCCTCATTTTTTATAGATCAAAAACATAACTGCATGTAAATTATACCTCAATTTTTTTTTTTTGACCGGTAAGGGGATCGCAATCCTCGGCACTGAAGTGCCCCAGTCTGGTAATTCCAAGACCTATCTTCTTGTCCACATTTGGCCATGGGCTAGCGGTGTGGCTTTAGGCACTTCACCAAGATTGTGAACTGTAAAAGGCTTGCACTGGAGACCTCTGAGGTCCCTCTGAGCTGTAAGCAGTCTGTGAGAGCTAAACTAATCTGAAATTATCCTTGCTGTCTCTATCATCGTACAAGGAGGAGGAGGAGTCACCTTTCCCTTTTGGTCTTCCGCCATGCTGTGAGGATGGTCAGGAAAATGCATACAGAATTAATCCCCAAAGTTGTGCTGAGTTATGTCTAGTGTCTTTGGACCAGCAGCCATGATATCACAGAGCAGAAGGAAGCAACGCCCTTCTGCCCCTGGGTCTCACACACTCTTGTTGGTACAGAGGAAACCTCAGGAAAATGCTCCTGTGGAGATTCAAGATTGATGCTCTCCATGTGGAAAAAAGTACCTTTATTGTGACCCAAGTAATGAGGTTAAAAATGGCGTCAGAGGGCCGGCCCGGTGGCGCACTGGATAGTGCGCTGCTTGGGAAGCGCGGCGGCGCTCCCGCCCGAGGGTTCGGATCCCACATACGGACCGGTTCCCGCTCACTGGCTGAGCGAGGCGTGGGTGCAACGCCGAGGGTTGCAATCCCGTTGCCGGTCCCGGTCCGGTACGGGGGTGACACTGAGGGTTGTGATCCGTTGCCGGACACGGAAAAAGACAAAAAAAAAAAAAAAAAAAAAGGGGGCAAAAATTATAAAACCAGGGAGCACAGTCCCTCAAAGTAGCCCACTTGGAAAACAACTATTAAAA